ATTATCAAACATATGTAACATGAAATAATTGTTTTTATTTAATTATTTAATTATAATAATTATAATAATTATATGTTTATAAGATGCGATACGATTTAAAAAAATATCAGTGCATAATAAAATTGAATGGTTTAATATCATTTAAACAATTTGAAATATATGTAAATTATGCCAAAGCAGAAATAACTCTTTTATCAGATATAATTTATTATTTAACTCAATTCTTCAGAAAATATCTTTACATATAGAGCACTTATTCTCTATTATGACCAATTATTTATTGATTTTAAAATACTTCGCATGTATTGGTCCAATACAGTATTATTAATATTAAGTACCATTTTATCAGGCAGTTAAAATTACATTTCATTATTATAACAATTTTTATTTACATAAGAGTTATTTTCTTCCTATTTTGGCGACGTTTAACATCACACTTTTGCTTAATATTAAACTGAGCGCTAGCATTAATAGAACTTGCATTTTATTTTTGTATACGAAAGAAAGTTCAAAATTTTGAAAAACCAAATTTTATACTAATTATTGTTACACATAATTTATAAATATAAATATACGTGAATTATATAATCTAGAAAAATCTTAATATATCTTTTGAATTTGTTGCGTGCGTGCGTGCGTGCGTGTGTGTGTGTGTGTGTGTGTGTGTGTTTGTGTGTGTGGTGTATGCGCGCGCGTGTGTATGTGTTTGTATTTATTGTATAATAAAACAAATCTTTTGATGAAAGAACTAATGATTACCGTGCTCAATTTTTACCATACAATTGTATTGATGTTTTTCTTATAATTTGAATACTTTTAAAATTATTATGAAATAATTAATGTGTATATCTGACAAGCTTATATCAGTTTGATAAAAAGATTTATCTTAATTATGACTCTTTTGCAATGAACAGTACTTAATAATTAATATTACATATTAATATGCATATAAATGCAATTTTATAATTTCTTTATAATTTTTTCAAATATATTAGTCTCTCTTTGTCGTCTTTTTGTGAAAAAAACAAATTTTCACTTTATTGACATTTTTAGAAGAAAAAAAGAAATTAATATCATAGCTGACAAAGTTAAATACCAGACCTAATAAAATATTAAAATTTTCATGAACTAGTCAAAATTGGGCAGTGCAGATTTTTATACAGTTTAAGTGATACATAAAAGATTATCACGATCAAATCGTCTTATTTAGTAATGATAACCATTGACTTGTTTGATGCAAAGCACTCTTTGAGAACTTGTGTCTGGTATATACAATATACGCAATATGTATATTGCATATACAGCTCTACTGGTTATATAATTCATAATTTTGTTTATGTGAGATAAATGCAAATTTCCCTTATTTAATCTTATTATCGTAATTCTCTTCTAAATGATTCAGTTGTCAAAATCTTATTCAACATCTTAACTATTACCTAAAAAAATATTAGGCCTAAAATATTATATTTTTACGAGAAGATAATAAGAGTATAATTTAAAATTATTTTACTAATATATATT